CTGCCACGTATGGTTGCACAGGCTGAGTACTGTACAATTTGCAAATCATCTGTGGTGTCCTGAGTGGGTGGGATGTCCCATCCTGAGTTTCATGAGCCTCTCTGCTTCCCTCCAGTGTGAGGAGATGAAGGCCACGGTGCTCCGGCATGGGGAGACCCTGCGCCGCACCAAGGAGGAGATCAACGAGCTGAACTGCGTGATCCAGAGGCTGACGGCCGAGGTCGAGAATGCCAAGTGCCAGGTAGGGGTCGTTTGAGGCCCACCCAGGGTGCCACAGGCAGTGTGTGCACCCAACTGGATCTCACCTTTCATTCTCCAGCCCATCTGGATGACCTGAGTCCCAGGTTGTGGTCACTTAAGGAAACCCAGATGATGAAGAGGAGAGACCTGTTCCTGGGGTGATCCCAGCTGGCCAGGAGAGACTGGATGCGTCCAGGAAGTGGACACAGAGACCCAGGGACCATAACTCACCTTGTTCTCTTCTGGGCCTTTAGAACTCCAAGTTGGAGGCCACTGTGACCCAGGCGGAGCAGCAGGGCGAGGCGGCCCTTAATGATGCCCGCTGCAAGCTGGCCGGGCTGGAGGAGGCCCTGCAGAAGGCCAAGCGGGACATGGCCTGCCTGCTCAAGGAGTACCAGGAGGTGATGAACTCCAAGCTGGGCCTGGACATCGAGATCGCCACCTACAGGCGCCTGCTGGAGGGCGAGGAGCACAGGTGGGGCCCATCCCAGCCTGGCCCTGAGCTGCCCATTCCCACCCTTTCCACAAGCACCACCCTTGATCCTGGCTGAGCAATGGCCAGGGATCTGGGACAAACCTATCATTTATCACTTTGGGGTGGGGGGCGGTTTGTGAGGACTATTACTTCTGACCCTCTGCCCCCTCCTTCCCGACCACTTGTGAACCCCACCCCAGGAATTTGTAGAGCTCTGTCGGCAACTCTGGCTCAGTCGCTAATGTTGCTTTTTTCCTCTTCCCTCTCAGACTGTGTGAAGGCGTTGGGGCCGTGAATGTCTGTGAGTAACCTAGGCCCTGTGTGGATGAATTTACTCTCTTCCTGTAAGGGATGGAAGGAGGAGTTCCACTGGACCTAAATATAAGAGTGGGCTGGCATCACAGGAGGAGGGATTTGGGTTAGACAAGAAGCAAGGACCACTTCGTTGGGACTAGAGTTGTTAAGTAAAGATGCTTGGAGAGGTGCATCGTCGGGGATGCGGGAGACTTGGCCCCCCAGAATTTTAACTAAGCCTTTGGGGTTCGCAGGTGTCAGCAGCTCCCGGGGCGGGGTCGTCTGCGGGGACCTCTGCGTGTCCGGCTCCCGGCCGGTGACTGGCAGCGTCTGCAGCGGCCCCTGCAGCGGGAACCTGGCGGTGAGCACCGGCCTGTGTGGGCCCTGCGGCCCCTGCAGCTCCGTCACGTCTTGCGGCGTGGGCTCCCGCGCCAGCAGCTGCCGCAAATGTTAAGCGCCCCAACTCAGGCCCGGGCCGGGCAACCCTCCCGCGCAGCCCGGCAGGGCCCGCCTTGCCTGGCCCCGCCCCGCCCACCTCTGGGCGGAGCAAGCCCTAGGCTACTTCGCTGGCTCTTTGAAAGGTCCATCCCACTCCTAGCATCCCAAGCCTGTGTGTGATCCCCTCTTCCCGGGCTCTGCCGCCCACGCTGGGAAAGGCTACCCTAGAAAGAAGTCTCTTTGGCCACCACAGGAAGGGGACTCCGGGGCAGGGGGGACCAGGATTAGGACCTGGGCTGCTATGGGGCCAATGGCCAACGCTCCCACTCTGTCCCAGCATCACCCCTTCCTTCTCTGCCGTGTTCCTCTCCTTCTTGATCTGTGTTTCCAATAAATCAGTATAGCCAACGCTGGGCCTTGTCTGCACTCCTGCTATCTTCCTCAGGGGTCGAGGTTTGGGAGGGTCCCCAAAGTCACATGGAGCAGAAAAGCCCTAGATGTGGGGTCTCCACTACAGTCTTTTGTCCCTGGGCTCACAGCACTCTCAGATTTAGCCAAGGATTGTGCTGCGCCGCTCCATCCTGTAATGTTATCCATACCACCTTCACAGTATCTCTTGCAGAGCTCAGGGACCCGCGGTAGCCAGGGCAGGGTCCCACCCTGAGTTCGGTGGCACAGCTGGGGTTTGAACCCCGTGAGCATGTTTAGTGCTCATTTCACTAAACCACAGCTGCCTCCCAGAGAACATATCTGTGCACATCTGTAAACCTATGGGTAGATGCACCAGTCACTCAAAGCTTAAGGAAACATCACTCCTGGCTTTGGTGGGGAAGACTCAAGCCTGAGTAACTTACAAGAATTCTTTAAGGGGTGAATACATGAACATGACTTAAACTTTCAAAAAGCCTTTGATATGGCTGTCTTTTTTTAATGGAGTCCTTTTGGGGTTTGGAGACCTTCCATAGCTGATAAATTGCCTCAAAGCTAGAAAACAGCACGTGGCAAGAAGATGATGTGGTGTAGAGGTGAGCACACAGACCCTGGAGCCAAACTGCATGGGTCCAAAACTGAACTCTGTTCCTAGCTGAGTGACTTCGGGCCATTTACTTACCCTCTCTGTGCCTCCGTTTCTATAGGTCTAAAGTGAAAATGAGAAAAAGAGCATTTTTCTTTTACCTCCTAGGGTTGTTGGGAGGATTAAGGAATTTCGTATACATAAAATACTTAGTGCCTGCCACGAAATAATCACAATATTCATTTATCATCAGTAGTATTCTTTTGCAGAATACAAAGTAGAAATCCCTCCTGGGATCAGGGCCATGGGCAGCCTCTCATTACACTTATATGATCAGAGATTGCAAGCACAGAAAGAAAACCCCACGTCTTCCAGGCCATCAAGCTCCTTCACGCAGGAAACCATCCCCGCCACACTGATGAAGATATTACAAGTGCTGGTGGGAGTGGAGAGATGGCCCCTCAGCTTCACTATAGGCCAAGGCAAGTCCCTGAACATACATCTGTACAGCAGAGTGAATCTCTAAACTTCCAGTGCCGGGCCCAGGAAACTATAGCAGAAATGGAAGTGCCCATCCCCACCTCTAAGTGTGATAGAAATAAATTGATAATATTGAGAGATCAGAAGTGAGCGGTCTGAAAAGACACTGGCTCTTTTAAAAGATAGGATTAATTCCAGGTCTCCTGGCAACCAATGTGTCCCCTCCACCCTCCAATGGAATTCTGAGGACAGAGCCCTCAGAGAGTTCCAGAACATGAAACTGTTCTAACCAGCCCTCTGTGCTGTGACACCACACAGCTCAGAAGCAGGCCTTGTCTGGAGTCCAGACCGTGTGAAGACCTAGTTGTCCTAAATAGTCAATGCCCTTCCACCATCACCACCCGGCTGCCCCCACTCCCACCCCTCACCTGGCTCTTGGTGCTGTTCACCTCCACTGTCGGCCACTGGATGGCCTAGTTAAGCCTGTTCAGCTCCTCCTTGCTGTGGCGCAAGCTCTGCCTGTGTTTCTGCACCGTTATCTTTATCTCCTCACATTGTGGAGTCGGGGCACCAAGCATGGGAGAGGATCAGGGAGATGAGGAGAGCAGCAAGGGTACTCGACTGAGGCCAGGAAGACCGATCATTTAACTCCTCTGGGCCTCCATCTCTCCATCTGTAAGATGGGGATGATCATCTTTCCTAACCCCAAAGGTTGCTGAGAGAATGAAATGCACTTGGCTGGCACAGTGGTGGGTGAGCCACCAGGCCTGGAGATGCCAAAGGTAGCGTGAACTCGGCCACAAAGGGCAACAACGCAGGGCGGCAGTCTGTTGAGTCTTTGAACTGAGATCACACAGGGTTGATCCCAGGAATAAGGGTAGTTAACTCTAGGAGATCAATTATCTTCCTTCGCTACATAGGATCATCTAAATGAATACAAAAGGCGTTTAATAAAACTCAACAATAATTTCTAATTTTAAAAATACTTTTTAAAAGCTAAGAATATGAGGAAACTTCCCTAACTTGATGAAGGCTATTAATCAGTGACAGGAGATCCAGATTCCAGCTCCTTCCCCAAACCCAAGGCCACTCTGGGACAACACTATGGGACTACAAGGGACAAAATCAGTGGGCCTTTTCCCTTCCCGCATCCTCTCTGCACACGCCAACACGTAACCAGCCGGGCACAGGGACCGACGCTTTCACGATGCCTCCACCACCTCACTGGGGCTCATGACCACCTGTAAAGTAGGCCACGTAGATGTTACTCTCTCCATTACCTTTCCTTGGGCAAAAGCTGCTGCTCATCCACTGTGCAAGGCAGAGGGACCCAGAGGGACATGAGTGACCCTGCCGGTCAATGGCTAAGCCAGGCTTCATCTTAAGCCCATGCATTTTGCTCTATACCCTGAGGGACAGATAAAGTCACACACATCCTTCAACCCAGAGAATAGGAACTGTTCACGCCAGCCCACTGCAAATTTCCTTCCAAGGCAGATGGGGTGGGGTGGGGGGGGGAATGGATATAAAGAGACTGCAAAACTCCATCTCCCACCAATCTCTGCCCTATTCCTACTGCCTACACTTTCCTGCTCTCATTCCCAAAAGACGAAGACACAGCAGACAAGCTTGTGCCTGGCTGGGTCCAACAGATCTGGAGTCCAAGACGTCTCATCCTGTGTGAGCTAATGAGCCGTGTGGACAAGTCTCACCATGATGAACAGAGCTGTCACCTCCTCCAAGCCTTCCCTGGGCACCGAACCTCAGCTCTAGCCCAAAGAGCTTCCAGAATGCTCACCTCTCCTTCCTGGGGGCTTTGTGACCTCATCTTGTTACAACTGCAGAGTTCTGACGGGGGTGTGGAAGCAGCCATCCTGTGAACCCAGATGGGAACGTGGTGGTCTCTGGGCTGGAAAGGGACTTGAAGGAAAGAGGGGGAGGGGGAGGGGGAGGGGGAAGGAAAGGTGCTTCAAGTGGGGGAAACGTGTGGAGCTGAGGACTTCAGGCTTATGGAGTGGGCGATGGGAGCCACAGAAGGTGCTTGAGCAGGCCAGCAGCATGGTGTATGATGCAATTTGGAAGGCCTGTCTGGCAGCAGCGTGGAAGACAGATAGGAGGCAGAGAGACTGAGGCTGGGGATTCCATTTCCACGACTAGGTAAGGAATCTGGGGTAAGACAAGACTCTAAACTGAAGGAGTAACAGGGATCAGAGAACACAAGTTGATCGGCATTTTCTTTTGTTTTATAAATTTCTCATACATGCAAGAGTATATACAACATACGTTTAATGATTTAAATAGCAACAGTAATAAAAACAAATCCTTGTGTACCCAGCAGTACCTTCAGAGCCCCCTGTGGGACCCTTCCTGAGCACAGCATCCTCCCCCTCTGACCCCATCCAATCTCCAAGGTAACCACTATCTTGGGTTTTTGTGTTAAGCACTCCTTTGATTTTCTTTATTGTTGCCTCATATGAGTATGAGTCCCTAAGCAATTGTTTAGTTTTGCCTGCCTTTAAGCTTTCTATAAATAGAATTACATGTTCGCTCCTATGACTTGCTTTTCCCCCCTCAACATTCTATTTGTGAGATCCATCCATTTTGATGCATGTAGCTTTCTTTATTTTTCAGTGCTGTAGAGTATTCCAGTGTATTATTATTCTCCATTCTCCTAGGGGTATACATACGTGTGCTTTTTTTTTTTTGGTTATAACAAACAATGCTGCCCCGAACTTTGGGGTACATATTTGCTGGTGTACTTTGGCAAGAGGTTCTTCAGGGTACTGGCTGTCAAACTTTTTTTGGTAACCACAACTCAAAATAAGGAATATATTTTATAGGGCTTCCCTGGTGGCGCAGTGGTTGAGAGTCCGCCTGCCGATGCAGGGGACATGGGTTCGTGCCCCAGTCCGGGAAGATCCCACATGCTGCGGAGCGGCTGGGCCCGTGAGCCATGGCCGCTGAGCCTGCGCGTCCAGAGCCTGTGCTCTGCAACGGGAGAGGCCACAACAGTGAGAGGCCTGCATACCGCAAAAAAAAAAAACCAAAACAAAAAAACCAGCCATTTTACTCCAGATCCTAAGTTTCACAATAGTGCAAGCTGTGCATTCTAGAGCGATCATCCTAGTGGGTACCAGAGGAAATGCCTGAAAACCTCAGGACCCCCTCCCTTACCCAGACCTGCTTCTGACCCCTTGAACTGAGTAAAGGACTTCATCAATACCATGACACCAGGCACTGGAATGAGCAGCTAAGGAGGGCCCAGGGAGTGTGCCCAGCCTGATGGGGTGCCCCTCCCTGGTGGGGAGAGCTCTGTGCTGTCTCCCCAGTGAGACTCCTGTGCCACCCTCTCCCTTTAGGTTGTGGACTGCGGCTACCTGCAAAAGTCAAACCTGGAGGCCAATGCGGAGGCCCTGACCCAGGAGATCGACTTCCTGCAGCAGCTGTTTAAAGAGGTGAGGGGCCACAGAGCAGTGGGGCAGCAAGGAGGATGGTATTTGGACATTGGAAAGGACTTTCCACCACTTGGCTTCTGAAACCCCTGGGTGAGGGGAGCACAGGGCAGAGTCGAGGGACCCGAGGCAGGTTTACTGTCAGAAGATGAAAAAGTATAGCTTCTTGTCTTATCTGCCAAACCCAAACAAGCTGTTGTCCCTGGCTACTGTGGTGATAATTATCACAAATTGTATATTCACAAATCAGGCACAAATTGTAAGTTGCTGCCTCATTTCAGAGGCCCTGACTGAAATCAGGCAGTAAGCCTCAGAGCTGGGCTCCTCTCAGCCTTGGGACTTTGGTCCTGAGGAGCACTGAGAGGTTCCAGGGTCGAAAGGGAGATGTCACCTTTGTACTGGGGCTTCAGACAGCGAGGCTGTGGAAGAAACAAGGGCAGGGGACAGGGAAGGACCATGAGAAAGAGGGCTTCGGGGAGTGGGACTATGGTCCAGGAAGCTCTTACCACTCCCCCACTTCCCCGCAGGAGCTCCAGGTCCTCCACGCCCACATCTCAGGCACCTCAGTCATCGTCAAGATGGACAACAGCCGGGACCTGAACATGGACTGCATTGTCGCCGAGATCAAGGCTCAGTAGGATGACATGGCCAGCCGCAGCCAGGCTGAGACTGAGTCCTGGTACCTCAGCAAGGTGAGTGGTCCAGTGCCCCCTTCCCAGAACAGGGATGCTAAAAGCTGAAAGTATTAGCAGGAGGGATGCTAAAAGGGCTTTGGTCTTTGTCTAGGTGGGATGGGTAAGGGAAGGGCAGGCAGCTCTCAGGATGGGGTGGCCGATGTGCACACTGTGGGGCTCAATGGGGTGGCATACCCTGTGTCCCATGAGCATCTGTGCTTTCCCCCAGTGCGAGGAGATCAAGGCCACGGTGATCCAGCCTGGGGAGACCCTGAGCCGCACCAAGGAGGAGATCAACGAGCAGGGAGATTTAAGTCAGACACCTTGCCAGAGTGTGGGGGAAGAAGCAACGTCAAACTTCAGGCAAGTCTTCTCCACGGAGAACGCTCTCCGTCCCCGCTGAATGGGGGGCGCAGGGGGAGGGCTATGGAGGGGAACGGAATGACCAGGGCTCTCATGGTCCCAGGGGCAGAATGGGGCAGAGGAAATAGCACCAGTCTGAGAGGCAGGAAACCTGGGCTCTCCAACCAGCCCTGCCACTAGCTCACCATGTGATTTGGGGGAAGCCATTTCACCTCTCTGGCCCATTGCTCTAGATCACTGACCACACACTTAGATGACCCCAGATGTTAGTAAGTGAGTGAAGCAGGCTGTACTGAAGGCACTAGGGTGTGGTGAACTGGAAAACAAAACAAACGGGCAGAGCTGATCAGATCCAACTGAGGCAGGCCCTACAGAAATGCAGGTACAGTGTGGCCGGATTCTCTGGCTTTTCAAGAGAAGCCAGGAATTTGGATTTTTACATTAAATTTCAAAAATTAAGGACACTGTGCCAACATTCCCCAAGAGCACTAATTTGCAACCCCTGACCTAACAAACGAGTAAGGCCCCTTCTTCCTCTGATAGTCAATGGTCAGTGGATACCTGGTCTCTGACCCTAAATCCAGAAGAAGGAGCCTTAATAACCCTCCCCTGTCCCCCAGAACTCCAAGCTGGAGGCTGCCATGCCCGAGGCGGAGCAGCAGGGCGAGGCGGCCCTTAATGATGCCTGCTGCAAGCTGGCCGGGCTGGAGGAGGCCCTGCAGAAGGCCAAGCGGGACATGGCCTGCCTGCTCAAGGAGTACCAGGAGGTGATGAACTCCAAACTGGGCCTGGACATCGAGATCGCCACCTACAGGCGCCTGCTGGAGGGCGAGGGGCAGGGGTGAGGACCACATCTGTGGGGATGATGTATCTTCATCCTCCAAGCTGGCTAGGAGCATGTTTGCATATTATTTGCATCTAATTTGCATCATGATTACTTGGAGGAGGGAATTTGCAAGTTCTGCTCCCCCCAACTAATTTTTGACTCTTTTCTCTCCCCACAAGGTTGTTTAAGGGCATTGGTGCTGTAAATGTCTGTAAGTTATCTATACTGTGGGTTCTGAAATACGAGCTTGGGGCTCCTGGTGGTCCGTCTTTTTCTTAAAGGGCCAAATAGTAAATATTTTAGGCTTGCGGGTCACGCAGTCTCTGCTCAACTGCTTAGCTTGTTGTAATGTGAAAGCAGCCACAGCCATAGCAATACTTCAGGAATAGGTGTGGTTGGGTTCCAATAAAATTTTATTTACAAAGGCAGGAGGCGGGGGCCGGGGTGGGGGGGACGGGGGCACAGTTTAAGACCCTGAAAGGAAGGAGGGGGATGTGGCAGTGAATGATTATGATAACTTAAATAGCTATTTCAGCCTATAGGGAGGGCCTGGGCTAACAGTTTATCAGGGATGCTTGAGGTTAGACTACTGGAAGAAGTGCCCAGGTGTGAGGTTGTTTGAGGGGGAAGGGGGAATAGAAATAGAGGGAAGGAGCTCTGAGGAAGAGAAGAGGGGGTGGGGGGACTCTGGCCCTTAGGCAGGAGCCGCTGGTGAGGACCTTGCGAGGCGACTCAGCCCTGTTCTCTCCCCTCCCCGGCCCCCCGCAGGTGTCAGCAGCTCCCGGGGCGGGGTCGTCTGCGGGGACCTCTGCGTGTCCGGCTCCCGGCCGGCGACGGGCAGCGTCTGCAGCGCCCGCGGCAGCGGGAACCTGGGGGTGAGCACCGGCGTGTGCTCGCCCTGCGGCCAGAGCGGTGGCGGCAGCCACCTGGTGCGGTTTGCTTGGCGGCTTCTGCTTCGTAAATACACCGCTCCGCGAGCCAGCCATCCCTGCCTCCGGCGGCGGGTCCCAGAGCTCGGAAAGCCCCTGGGCTTGCGGTGGAAGGGCTGCAGGAACCAGCCGGCCTGACCTGCCCAATTGCTGCCTTCTCCTCCTGCGTCTCTCTCCCCGCTTGTCTCTTCACTTCCTCCAGGGAGGGAGGGCTCCTCGCCCACAGCTCTGGCAGCTCCCCTCCATCCCCAAGAGTCTAAATGACTGGTTTCCCCCAGCTCTGGGACGGACAGATTGGTCCCACGGCCCCTCCAGTGTGGACCTGCTGCTGCTTCCCCTGCCTCCTAAACCCTCCCACAGTGACTGAGGTTGCGTCTCCCAGGGCACAACTTTATGCCCCGCCTGACTCCCTCTCTCTCCCAGGAAGGACTGATTTGCCAGTTGGTTGGTCCACCCCAAACCCAGGCCTAGGGCAGCTAAACGTGTGGTCTTCTCACCACTGAGGAATGTTCTCGGACAGCACAGGGCATTGGCTGGGGGAGGGAGTGGGTGCAAACGGCTCTTCCACGCCCTCAGCAGGAGAGGACTCCAGTGCCCACTTCCTGGCAGAACCAGAACTTCCAGGGGCTTCTGGGCTTCTTCAGGAGAGGAGCTGGAATCAGGCCCAGCCCTGGGAGAGGTCAAGGCCTCACTCTGGATAAGAGTCAAGTTCCATAGAGCAGCACCCCCATGTCACCAATGTGCTGTCCCAGTTATCAGGGCAGACCCTGTGTTCTCTCAAGCCCTCCCCTCCCCACCGCCTTCCCCGCCCAGCCTAATGAAGCCAGGATACCAGGTGCTGGGCATGGGCTCACCCAAGCCTCGGAAAGCAGCTGCTTTATTGGAAGCTATTCTGACATCATTTTTCAGACTGCCTTGCAGTCTTGGGACCAGGGATGGGACCAGGGATGGAGGTCCTCTTGTGACGATGGGAGGAGAGGGTATGTGTCTCCCCACACCAGAGGCTCAGTTGCGGGTGTGCCTGCCGGGGGCAGATGTGGTCCTAATGGAATAGGCCTTGGGGGCCCCAGGCCCTCCACCACTGGAGAATCTCAGGGCATCGCTGCCCATGGTTCCCCCGAAGGTCAGCCGGCTGCCAGCACCGCCCGTGGAACCGACCACAGCTGAGAGAGAAGGGAGGAGGTCTCCATCGGCGTGAGGCCCACTACCCGAGGCCCCCGCCCTCCTGCCATAGCTGCCCGTCTCCCTCCTCCCACCCACCTCCCTTCCCCCCAACAGCCAGGGGCCAACCCAGAAGGAGCCTCAGACAGAGGTGAGGGCTGCTCCACACTGGCCCCACCCACCCTGTCCTCGTGCATGGCTTTCCTGGGCTGTTGAGCCTCTCTGGATGGGAGCTGCAGGCCCCTGCTGAAAGCTATTGGAGGGAAGGAGGCTCCCAGCCTCCAGAAGGCCAGGCCTTCCGGCCGATATGCCATCCAATAGACCCAGCCTAGTCTGGACGGCATAGGCGATGGGCCCGCAGCCAAGGACTTACAGATGTTCACGGCTCCCACTCCAGCTCCGGTCATCCTGGGGCAGAGGAGACACCTGTGAGGGCTGCTCTCTCCTCAGCACTGGAGGAAGCACTCCCGCACCCCTCCGTCCAGGCCCCGAGCAGAACTGAGGTTGCTTCCTCTGTCCCCGCACATTCAGCCTTTTCCCTTTGGCCCTCCTGCCTGCTGGCTACATGACCTTGGGAATGTCTCAGAGTCTCCAGTTCCTCACCTATAATGGGGCCTAACTCAGTACCAACCTCACAGTGTGGTTTGTGAGGGTTAAATAACATAAGTTACCTAAAGCCCTGGGCACACGGGAGTCTGTAAATGGTAGCTGTCCTCGTTGTTTATGTAGATCGCCGCCTCTCTTAACCAGATCATAAAATCCTCAAAGAAGGCTGTATTGATTCCTGCATCTCCAGTCCTTAGCATGAGGTCTGGCACACGGTAATTATTTAATATGTGTTGAAATAATTAGTGAATCGTTGACTGAGTGAACTCAGCTCCAGCCGGGACTGAGGGGGGAAGGAGGAGAGGGGGTTGTTTTAAGCAGGCTGTGGGGCTGAAACAGGTCTTACACTGGAAATTAAAAATCTATCCGAGACAGCCGGTGTTTGCTTTGTGACTCACAGTCTCACTGTCACCGAGCCCTTGGCCTTGGGAATGAGTTTACTCTGCAGGGAGGAGGAGAGGCCTCAATTTAGTGGAGGGAGTGAGGGAAGCCCAGCTGCAGCCCCAAATCCTGGCAGGGGGCAGGGCAAAGGTCAAGGGCAAGAGATGGGGACACTAGAAAGCTTCCAGGCCACTTGTCTGTTGACTGAATGAGTCAATCAAGCCATCAAGGTACTAATGAAGACCCAACTTCATGGACATAGATGTGGAGTTTTTTGTGAAGAATTCCCCGTAAGACTAACCCAACTCAGCTTCATCTCAGGCTGCAGGTGAGTATGCAAATACTTCTGGAGACAGGGGAAATTTACCTCCTCACCACGCTCAGTCAATACCACGTGACTTAGCCCTCAATTATGTGGTGAGAAGCAGCCTGTCACCATGGAAGATGCCTGGACCAGGAATCAACAGAGCTTGACCGCACACTGGCCCTGTCCCCTCAATTAATAAAACTAACCACAATTTCCCCTCTGTACACTAAGGAGTCAATAATACCTGTCTTGCTTACCTGATGTGTTCTGAGGATCAAATAAGATAAGCTTGCTAACAGACACACACACACACACACACACACACACGCGCGCAAAAGCGCTGTTATTACTTCAAATTTCTCACTGAGCTTACAGCATCTGGTCTTTCCCTCTCGAAAGTCATCTCATCAAGGGCAAAGAAGCAATCATCATCTGTACCCTCCCTGCACTTCCCACACCCAGTGCCCTGCAGAAGAGGGTGCACAGGAAATGCTTGCAAATGGATGAACGTCAAGCCCCAGGCCTCACTGAGCCCCAAAGGATCCCCTTTCCAGATTCTTTGTCTTCACCTGCTCTCCTCGCCCTCCAGCAGCTTGCGGTAGGTGGCGATCTCGATGTCCAGGGCCAGTTTGGTGCTCATGAGCTCCTGGTACTCCCGGAGCTGCCGGGCCATGTCCTGCTTGGCCTTCTGCAGGGCCTCCTCCAGGTCCACCAGCTTGGCCCGTGCATCCTTGACAGCCAGCTTCCCACTCTCCTCGGCCTCGGAGATGGCAGCCTCCAACTTGGCACGCTGTGGGGGGTAGTGGGGCTTTGAGCTGGGGGGGCAGGCCTCACCAGCCACTGCCTTCCTGCTTCCCCATGCTGCAGTGAGCATCAGGGCACCTTGCTTACGGTGGCTTCACTGGCACCTGCCTCCTCTCCCAAGCACCAGGGAATCCCAGGGGTTTCAAACATGGGTTTTGATACCCAATGCGTACCTTCCACTTCTGGCTTTGCCACTTACAAGCCATGTGATCCTGGATGAATCAACCCTTCTAAGCCAAAAGTCTCCTCTTTCCTAAACTAGCAGTCATCACAGTATGTATAGAGAGAGATTGCAAGTAACGAAATCATACAAAAGTCTTTGGCACAGTGTCTGGTATACAGTAAGCATTTAATAAATGCTATTATGATCACTATTATGAGTAAATGCTATTATGATTTACAAATGCCCACACACCTGACCCCTAGCTAGAGGAGTTCCAAGGCTATGGGATTCTAGTTTAGTCCTCAAATTTCAGGCAGCTGACCAGAACCAAAAACACCGTCAAAATAGGAACCAGTTTGGAACAGGCCCAGGACAGGGAGACTTGGAGTACAGAGACGCTGTTGGGCACCCCTAGACTCCGAGTCAACGGGCCCCAGGTTTGGGCAGGGGTGGCGTGATTCAGGACGGGCGTGACCATCAGCTGCCACTTCCTGCCTGGCCTTAGTGTTCCCTCTCTCGTGGCCCGTCCCTCACTAGCCGGGCCTATTTAGTCCTGAGCCGCTTCTCGTTCAGCTCCGAGAGCCACCATCCCCATCCCCTCGCGCAGTGGTCCTCCTTCCCTCTCACAAACGCGCTCTGCCCTCAGACCCTCTCCTCTCCGAGCATGCACTCTTCCTCTCTGCACAACACCCCCAGTCCTGCCCAGGAGGCTGGCTGATGCCCTCTGCCCCCATCCACTGGTCAGTGCCCCTCCCTGTCACACTGGTGCCCCCTTGGCAAGGCCATGCCACTGCCTCTGAGCCCCCCGACGGTGATAGACACCCCAGCTCTGGGGTCTTGCTCTGCCCTGTTGGGTAAGAGGAGAACCGGATGTGGCAGAAGCTGCGGCGTTTGGGAAACCGCCATTCATTATTCTGTGCCTCCCCTCCAGGGCTGGACGCTGGCTTGCCACACCGGTGACTCACAGCCCTGAATCTGTGCCGGGAGGCAGCTTCCACCCTCACCCTCATGTAAAAAGGCCTGCAGGGCTCCAAGGGGAGGACATTTCTGGGTAGATCACCCCCACATCCCATCCCCCGGCTCATCTGGAAAGTAGCCACCACCCATCAGCTTCCCTCCCTCCCCACTGCAGACACCTGCCCAGGCTTAGCTGCCTCGAGCACCCCCATGCCTTAGTCAGGGCTTGGGGGACCCTTCCTCATCAATACCCCCCACCCCAGCTTCACAGCACCTCCTCCCATCAGTCTGTCGTCTGAGACCTGTGCCCTGACTATGTGTCAGGTGCTGGGAAGGGAGGAACAGTGAACCAGACAGACGGGGGCCCCTGCTCTTAAGGCATTTTTAATATCCCAGTGGAGGTAGGGGACAATTCTTATTTATACTTAATAAGACTTACCTAATAAGTCAATACTAAATTAATAAGACAGAAAATTTCAGAGAGTGATAGGTGTTTCAGGAACCTCACACAGACTGCTGAGAGAGTGGCTGGCCATCTCTGCGAAGAGGTCTTTTGTCCTAAACCTCAGGGGCGGGAAAGGGGCAGCCATGTGCAGAGCTGGGAGAACCACATTCCAGGTAGAGGGAACACCAAGTGCAAGGGCCCTGAAGCATGAAGATGCTTGGCAAATATAAGCTCCAGGAAGCAGCAAGAGCGCAGCCGGAGAGGCAGTGGTGAGGAGTGAGGTCAGCAGGTGGGGCGGGGCCTTGGGAGCCATAGTGAGGGACTCTGCTGACCTCCGGCCCGCCACCCCCTTCCCCCCTGCCCCCAGGCACGCATCGCACCCAGAGCTAGGTGCAAGGAGAGGGCTCAGTACCAATGTGGTAACGAATGGTGGTTCTAGTCTAGCCAGCCAGCCCGAGGCTCCTTCCACAAGCTCCATGCCCAGCTAGGACTCCTGTTCTCCCTTCGGTCAAGCAGGACCTGGCCAAGAACATTTCGTCCTAGAGAGCTCGCAGGTGGGCCCGAGAGACTTGAGCCGCACCAGCCTGGTCCCCAGAGCAGCAGGGGTGACCCCCTCGCCCCCAGCCTCCTGCTGCTCATCCTGGGCAGGGTCCCAGCTGGCTGCCCTTCACATGCCCCAAGGAGGAGGGCTGGCGCCCACCTGGTTCTTGCTGTTGTCGATCTCAGCCTGCAGCCTCTGGATGGTCCGGTTCAGCTCCGCGATCTCATTCCGGCTACGCCGGAGGTCGTCCCCATGCTTCCCAGCCTGGGCCTGGAGGGTCTCAAACTGGAGGGACCACACAGAAGAGTATGGCAAGGGTGGACCGTGATTACAGGTGACTTGTCTTCTCCCGACACAAGGAAGGCCCCAGGTTCTGAGTGACAAGCCCTCCCAGCTTGTCTTCCCAGGGAGGGACAGTCTGACTCCCAGCAAACTTTGCCTGATACCAGGAGGCCAGACTCCCGGGCAGTGGGGTGGGGGTGGGGGGGTTCAGTTTCCTCCCAGCCAGGACGGGGTGGGGCGGGGGTAACAAGAATGGCCCACCAGGCCCATTCCACTGATCTCGGGGCTCTGCCCATTCCCATTATGTCCTAACACTGGAGAATCACTGGAAGTCTGAGATCCTCACCTATTAACCCCTTTGTCAGCACCACCCATTTTACAGATGAGGTGAATGAGTCCCAGAGGACAGAAGGCACTGGCCCAGTGTCACACAGTAAGTCCTTATTGGCATACGTGTGTCCTCACATACACCATGGATGACTCCCTGTCTCTGAAGAGACATTGCTCTATGCTGCTTTTAAACCCTCAGGCTCCCTCCCCCAGATCGCTGGTTTGCCCCAGCACACCCCCTCCCCACCCATTCCCTCAGCACTGCACTGTCAGCTGCCCTGCCCACACCCAGTGCATATAACGATTAAACCTGCTCTGGAGCCCTTGGACCCAGGATCTGGTCCCTGCTCTTCTATCTGCTAGCTGTGCAGAGCTAGACAAATCGCTTAACCTCTCCATGCCTCAGTTTCTTCATCTGTAAAAGGGGGATAACACTAGTGCCTACCTAACAGGGCTGTTCTGTGGGCTATATGAGTCAATACAGGTAAAATCTTTGAAACTTTGCCTAGCATGGTGCTTACTTGCCAGATTTATCTATAATAATTATTAATCCATGTCCATTTCCTCTGCCCTCTCCCCCCACATCAGGCTGGAATCTTGCCCTGGGCAAGGACCTAGCCTTCTCCTCCTCTCCTTCCCAGGACACTGGAGACCACCACAGATTTAATCCCTGGTGCCTGTCAGCACAGTGGGACCCAGGCCCCAAAGGCTTGAGACAGGGTGAGGAGTAAGGGAAGCCGCCACGGAGGACTCTGCCAGGAAGAGAAAATATGCCTCCAGCGGCCACACACCTTGGTCTGGTACCAGGCCTCGGCCTCAGCCCGGCTGCGGTTGGCGATCTCCTCATACTGGGCCTTGACCTCGGCGATGATGCCGTCCAGGTCCAGGGAGCGGCTGTTGTCCATGGACAGGACCACAGACGTGTCTGAGACCTTGGACTGCAGCTCTTTCAACTCCTGTAGGGACCAGACAGAACATCAGGACTTGGGGCATGACCCGTCCCTGTCCCCATGCCCATCCTGGGATTCCCCGCACACTAGGGAAAGAAAAAGGGAGAAGAGGCCAGAGTGGGAGTGAGTCACCAGGTAGCCAGGGGGCACAGACCCAGCACCCACTAAACAGCTCCACCAGCCCTGGCTCCCAGAAAAGCCCATTAGCACCTTCTGAAATCAAGAGTCTGGCAGGATCACAGCGGACAAACAAGTGACAGAGTGTGGTGAACTGCGATGGCTCCCGGCTGCGAGGTGCTACTGGAGCTGAGCTCTGTTGTGAAGGGAATCACTAGGGGGTGGGTAGAATAAGTCATGTATTATGCACACTCTGCAGCCTTTAACACCGCTGATACAGCCGTATTTATGGACAGGGAACTGTATCTGTGGTATACTGTTACATGAAAAAAGGTATGATTCTATTTTATTAACTATATGTATTTCTATATCTCTATGTGTGTATATGCAGAGAAGAAGTCTGAAAAGGTAGGTATCAAGATGATAAGAGTAGGTGTAGGAAACTTGTTTTCAATTTATGCTTTACTTAATTTTCTAGATTTTCTGCAATGAGTATGTATTTCATAATGAGAGGAAAATAATTATATATACATGTATATACATACACACACACACATATATAACATGTGATAGACATATGAAGGCCCACACTGAGGCCAGAAGTACCCAAAGTCAGCCTCAAGGATCCAGCCTCTGAAATTCACATACGTGGAAATTCTCTCGGAGACGCTAATGGAGGCTGGATGTTCAGGTAAAGACCAGACTGAAGGGAAATGAGAACCGGTCTGTAATTTGCCTCACGTTTTCCTATGTCCCAGACTAGCCAGATGATCCACCACCCTATCTTCTGCCTAAGATCAGAGACTCACACAGATGGGATGAAGAGGTTTTTAAATCCCCTTGAGGGAAAGGAACTGGAAGCCCAGGGCAGGGCAAGCTGAGCAGGAGGGGAGATGGGAGGGGCAGGCAGAGAGGGTGGCTGAGTGGCGGGTATAAACCCTCAGGCACTCCAGTCTCTCCTGACTCAGGCTCCCCTGCCAGCCCACCCAGTCCACCTGTGAACCCTGTCACGGCCCGGATCCCTCAACATCCTCCTGGTTTCTTCCAGCCCCTCCCAATCCCCCTTCCTGACAAATGACCATCCCACATCTCTGGAAGGCCAGTTTTGACTGACTCCACCCTGGTGTGCTGCCCCAGCTCCTACTCCTGGATTCCTGAATCCAGAAAGAATAAAGAGCAGGGGTCTTTATTCAGGGGTCAACTCCCCTACATGCACCCAACACACACCCCGGCTGACCCAGAGGCAGGGGGTGGACCAGATAGCCCCCTGGCTAGGACATGCAGGTTGTGGCATATCTCCCACCCCTGAGGTCCTCACCTCCTCATAGAGGGTCCTGAGGAAGTTGATCTCATCCTTCAGGGTGTCCACCTTAGCCTCCAACTCCACCTTGTTCATGTAGGCGACATCCACATCCTGGGAGGGGTGGTGGTGAGAAGGGGTAGAGGGACACCATGTCCTCAGTTCACGAAACACTTAGCAGGCGTGGGAGCAAGCCAGTACTGTCCAACCCCCAGGACCAATCACCGCTGCCCTACCAAGAAACATACGGCTCCTCCAGGCTGCCTGACACACCCACGGTGGGAAGTTCCCTCCACTGGACCCATCCAGGCTCAAAGAGAACATCGTCTCCACGCACCCCCAGGACTGGAGGTGCCTACGCAGCGCTGATAGCCCACAGCAGCCTGGAGCCCCAAACCTAGCGCTTTACCAGTTCCTAAAGGCTTTAGTGGTTTAGACACACCCCCGGCTCTGCCACCTACTAGCTACGTGACCTTGAGCAAATCACCTCAACTTTATGAGCCCCAGCTTCTCATCAGTCAATGGGAGAGCATGAAATCGTTCAGACTCCAGGACAGTGCTCCCAGGGATGGCAAATCCCTAGCCTAAATATGTAGCTTGCAGCATGGGTGATATAGGGCAGGTGGGCAACAGATAACACTGCAAGTCTGGTCCCCTGAGAGCCATCCTTTGCTGTGGTTAAGCTCCTGTGGAAAGGGCTCCCTTCCACTCATCCCTGAATCTCCAAGGGCCCAGCACTCCAGGGCAGGTTACATTTCTGTGGATGGGCCTGGAACAGTGAGTGAGTGTGTTTTGAATCAGATTAAGTCAATCCCCTCTAAGATATTCCTAAGGCCTTCTGACCTTACCTGCACACCTCCAGGGACAGGGAGTTCACTTTGCCTCAAGGCACCCCATCCCATTCATTCAGCAAATATTTCAGGCATGCCATGTGCCACCCTCATCTGTAATTAAATGTTCTGACTGATAGAGCACTTCCTTATTTGGGGTTGAAATCGTCCCTTCTAACCTCCATCCTGTAGTCAAAATTCTAACCCCTCCAAAAGCCCAGAAACAAGTGTAGTGACTCGCCAGACACACCTACACACAAATACACACACACAGACGTGCAGACACATGTGTGCACATACGTACACGAAGCAGGCTTATAAATGGCTGGCTTCCATATCTCACCTTCTCCAAGCCCATCGCTCCCTTCTTATAGACCCAGCCAGACCCTGACCACAGGTCCCTACTGGCTGCTCAGGTGAGAGGCATGTGGTCCCCTGTCCCCTGTGCTTCCTACAATGCCACCCACCCTACCTGTCTGACCCCCTCACCTTCTTCAGCACTACAAACTCATTCTCAGCAGCCGTGTGACGGTTAATTTCGTCTTCATACCTGCAGTAAAGGAGGGGAGCATGGTGTTGGTGCAGCTCTGCCTCCATCCCCCCATATCCAGGTGTGAAAGTCTGCCGTGCATCTCCTTTACCCCTCCTTAATGACACACCTGAAAACACAGGTGTCAGCTACGAAACAAAATGTCCCTGACTTTTCCATACGGCTGTTCCTAGGGCTTTGAGTCTTGGCAGGCGTGGGGGTGAGGGAGCAGGGAACATACGTGGATCAAAGGACAAAGGCTGCATATACTGGGAGTGAGAAGACGAATAGCAGCCTTGCTTCTGGACCACTCTGTACGGGGCCTGCCCTGTTATGTGCTTCCCATGCATTCTCTCAGTTAGTCCCTACAACAATCCCATAACAATGGTGCTATGATTCTCAGGGAAAGGAACAGAGGCACAGAGAGGCTGAGTACTCTGTCCAGTCACCAAGCCGCTAAGTGGCAAAGCCCGGACTTGAAGCCTGGCCATCTGACGCCTGAGCTCACACCTTAACCTGCTTAATCCCACCCGCTGAGGGTGAAGAAGGGGCCCGAAGAGGAGGAACCTTGTGGACTCAGGAAGGAGGAAGAACCAGCCCCCAACTAGGTGACAAGCCCCCATCGCTACTCCCAGAGCACCTCCTTCTATCCCTCTTTCTCCCAAGGAGCCAGCCCCCTGCCCGTAGGAGGACGCCGGCAAAGCAGGGCACAGAGCAAGAGGGCAGGTGGGCCTGACCCAGTATTTACTTGAGGATTCAAAATAGGTGTCAGAGGGCTTCCCTGGTGGCGCAGTGGTTGGGAGTCCGCCTGCCGATGCAGGGGACGCGGGTTCGTGCCCCGGTCTGGGAAGATCCCACATGCCGCGGAGCGGCTGGGCCCGTGAGCCATGGCCGCTGAGCCTGCGCGTCTGGAGCCTGTGCTCCACAACGGGAGAGGCCCGCGTACCGCAAAAAAAAAATAGGTGTCAGAAACAGAAAGCCAGCAGTGTCCACGAGCTTCTGGAGAACAGAAGGAACAATGTGGGGCAACTTTAGTGGGGAGCAGGATACTCAGGCAGGCAGAGGCCCTCCAGGAGCCCAGACCCCCAAAGTCCCACTCCCCCAGGGCCTCTAGAATAGTTAGGAAAATATCTGCGAGGCCGTCTCTCCACCCCTGCTGCGCCACTGGGCCCAGAGGATGGGCAGACAGGAGCTCCCTGGGCAGCTGCACTCAGGACCCCTTCCGGTTCCTCCTTCAGCCCCAGCCTGGAGCTCAGCCTGGCTCCCGAGGAAAGTGCCCTGTGGGCTCTGGGCTGGGGGAGTACGTGTGCACACATGCACACCTGACAGCAGGGGCTCGTGGGCTGTCCCAGGCCTTCCCTGTCCTGCACGGTCTGCTTCCACCTGCCTTCCACCTGCTGCGGGATTAATCCTGTTGACTGTTGCCCTAGGGAAGTCGGGGGTGGGGATGGGGGATGGGAATGGAGAGACACTCCCTGCAGAGGCCTTTGTTTGTTCTACGTCCAGTCAAAGGCAGTGTCCCTGCTCCGGCTTAGTCATACACCCGCCCCCAGGCAGGGCACAGAGCTCACTCATTAGCCCGAGTGCCCACTGGGCAGGGATGCCCAGCCCAGCCTCTGGCTTTGGTTTCTATTCAATGTGAACAGAGAGTTCAGCAGGCACCTCGAAGGCCTGTCCTCAAGACCCAGCCTTCCCGGCCTCCAGCCTCCCACTCCCTGCCCCTCCTCACAGCCTCCTTTCTGGTTCCTGCCCTGGCCACACCCACCCCCAGCCTCCGCAGCCCCTTCCATCGCTCACAATGATCATGCTCTCTGCTTCTTTCCTTCCCAGCTTGGTTCCAGGTCTCCTCCTGGGAGTCAGGGGCCCGAAAACAAGCCCCAGCTCTCCCGAAGACCTACTATGCGATTTTGATCAAGCCCCTGAAACTTTCTGGACTCTAATTCCTCACGGGAAAAAAACAGAGTTGTTCTAGAATTATCTGAGGGCCATGCAAGTTCTGAAGCACATCATCTCTTGCCCTGCCCTTTCCTGGGCCTTGGTAAGGCTTCTGAAGGGAGCAGTGCAGATCAGGGCTGGGCTGAGATATTTCACTGGGAGTAAGTCAGAAGACAGGACCAGAGCGACTTGGAAAAGCCCCCAGAGACAAAGAGGAGAGAGGGGAAGCAGGGAACGTGTTAATCAAGATCTTCCCTTCTGGGAGTTGTTGTACTGAGCAGCTATAGCCCCTGACCCCTGACCCAGAGAGGATTTGCAGAGGGTGAGCTGAGAGGGGCACATGGGCCCAGGGCATGGATCCCGGCAGGCCGTACTGCGGGGCAGTACTTGTTCTTGAAGTCTTCCACGACGTCCTGCATGTTCCGAAGCTCCACCTCCAGGCGGCCCCCGTCCAGCTGCAGGGCCTCAAGCTGCTTCCGCAGGCCAGCAGTCTGGGCCTCAAAGATGCCCGGGAGGCAGCTCCTCTTGGTCGACTTCTGCTCCTGCAGCAGTGCCCACTTGGTCTCCAGCAGTTTGTTCTGCTGCTCCAGAAACCGCACCTAGAAGGGACGGGAGGAGGAAACTCAGGAGAGGCAGACCGTGCCACCCACAGTGCGGTTGAGAGGGTCTCCAGCCATCCAGCAGAATCCACGCTCGCACTGGCTCTTCCCCCAACCTGGGCCCCTAGCCCTTGGCTCTCTCCTCCAGGAAGCCCACCCTGAACAAGCCTCTCCTCCAGGACTCTCTGTCTCAACTGTCTCAGAGTGTGTCCAGGGCTCAGGTCACTGACATGTGCCAGTGCTGTGCTCTAGAGTCTCCTCCCTCCTCTGCTTCCCCTCGCATCACAGGCGATGGCCTCCATCTCCCTGTCTGAAGGGCTGCCCACTTCCTGTCTGTGTCCGGAGCCCGACTCGGGCCCCCTCCCTTCAGGCTGGGACCTCATCCCTTCCCCTCTCAGTATCCTCTCTCCCCTTCCCTCTTTCTCCCACAAGGCCTCAGGACAGGATGCTACAATCAAGCCAATGTAAAATGAGTCCCTAAGGAGCACCAAAATGACTGGTGTGGGAAGCAGCCCTCCTCAAAACCAGCAACTCAGGCAGCAGGATCTGGGGGCTGCAGCCGAGCCTCAGCAGGGGGAACCTGGGCCTGGGGCTTCCTGCGGAGGCTGCCCCAGAACTTGAAGGATGTGCACAGTCTGAAGGGTGAAGGAGAGGAGGACATGGGGCACCAGGGAAGCAGAGAGGCACACAAAGGCAGGAAAGAGAAAGCCTGCTCTATGCCCAGGGAGGACGCCCTGGCCAGAGGGGCCCAGGGGGCTAGCCCTTAGTTCTTGGGTCCAGCCCCACAAGTGCGCTCTCCCCATCTCTATGCCCCACCCCTTTGGGACATGAGAGGAAAAACACCTCTTAAATGGCCCTTCCCTGTGACCCTCAGTGCCCCCAGATGAGCTCTCTCCAAGGGCAAGTATAACCTCACCTCCTACCACCCAAAGGAGGATGGAGGACCAGCTAGGTGGGGCCGATGGGACCAGGAGCCTGCCTCCCTCCAGCCCTTTATTTCCAGCATCTGCTAGATAATAAGTGGGGCGGGAGGGGAGAATCTCACCCTGCCCCATCTCTGACTCCACACAGCCCCCTCTCAGAGAAGGGGGCCCAGAGAAACAAGTCCTGGCCTTGGCGTCTGGAGCTCCCAACCTGACTCGGATGACAAAAGCTGCCCAAGAACCCCAGCGACTCACAGGCACAGCTCACCTGGGCAACCGGACAGACCCACGCACACATTCCCGGAGGAAAAAGCAGGGAGATTTGGGTAGCTAGCTGCAAGAGAGGGCTTGGAGGCCGAGGGGGACAAAAATAGCTACAGGGTTCATGGAGAGGGTACAGTCCCAGATATCGGCGGAAAGAGAGCAGGCAGCAGCCCTCCCAGCCCCTGGCCCACGTGCGCTGCGGGGCGGCTGCTGGGGCCTGAATCCTGGCTTGGGGCAGCGCGGGCCGCTCACCTTGTCGATGAAGGAGGCGAACTTGTTGTTCAGGGTCTTGATCTGCTCGCGCTCCTCCTGGCGCACCTGCTGGATGGAGGGGTCGATGTTCACCTGCAGCGGGGTCAGCAGGCTCTGGTTGATGGTGACCTCGCGGATGCCGGCGCCCACTGGGCCCCCGTAGGATGAGCGCGCGGCGACGCGCGGCCGCGAGGCGCCAAGGCCGTAGAGGCTGCTGCTGCTGCCGCCGAAGCCGCCGGGGCGCACCGAGTTCAGGCGCACCTGGGTGCCGCGCCCCGGGAAGGCGGAGGAGCGCGAGCTGAAGACCTGGGAGCTTAAGTGGATGGACATGCTGGCTGGGCCGGGCTGGACCGAGCGGCGGGGGACAGGGGGCCGAATTCGCTGACCTCCGGGCGACTTGGCCGCTTTTATCCTCTAGGCGCGGGCGGATAGGCTTACACAGGTAGGGGCGGGGCTGGCCGCCGGCCACCTTTCTCTGCCCGCCAGCTCCTCTCGGGGCCGCGCTTCCGCCATCGCGCCGTCCACCCCTCCGAGGCCCAGGCTTTTGGTCCAAGCCTGTACCGTCCAGAGTGGGGAGGAGGGCCGTAGAGGCTCAGACCCCTTGATGCAGGCGGACGCAGAGAGCGGTGAAAGACAGCGGTCCCAGTCGATCTGCAACGGGCTCAGTCAGGGAAGGCTCCCTGGAGGAGGCTTGGGGATGGAGTGAAGAAGATCCAGATTCCTGAGACAAGAGCCGAAAGATCAAGCGGTAAAAGATTGGGGGAAGGGGTGGTCAAAACGCTCTAGCCCAGGAGTCAGCCCCCAGTCCCCTCCCCAAGCTACTGAGAGCCAGAAAGGCGTTCCCCGACAGCCTCCGTCCCAAGTCCAGCTCGTCCTTGAGAGAGCTCGACTCCTGAGTAAGCTGACCCCAAGGTGGGCCTGGGTGAACTGGTTTCCCTGGCCACATGTCCCCACGCCTCATCTGCATACAGAGACCAGGCCAAGTGGGGCATGACCCCACTCTCGCCCCTCTCCTCCGCACTCCAGTAGAGACATCTTCTGGTGATGGTTACTCTGGGCCTGCACTTCCCCCCGCCCCAGATCACGTTCCTGTCCACTTAGCTTATTTGTCCCTGGAGAGGAAGGGGACACCTGTGTGTATTTGAGACACTTTGTGTGAATGTCTGTACACCTTTGTGTGTACGCACCTGCCCTGGGCTTGGCTGTGTGCACACCCTAGACATGTGTGTTTACATATGTGTCTGCATGTTTGTGAATGTACTTATACAAGTGGGCTTCTATGTTCGGGTGGGGGGCAGGGGGATAGGTGTGTCTGTGAATACATGCTTGCACGCCTTTGCACGAATGTCTGTGCAACGTGCTTGTATTTGCCCTCAGACACTCCTCCCCATTCCCCACCCCTGCCACTTGCCTGTTTAAACGTCCCCAGCTCTCATCATCTCCCCCACCTGAAGCCACCACCAAACAATTCCCAGCAGTTTCAAACCCAGCCCAAGATGGGGATAAATATGCTGTTAGCTCGGCTAGAGGGGCAGCCTGAGGAGCCTTTGGAAAAGACAGCCGACAGGACTGTTGCCACCCTTGGTCCACCTCCAGTCCCGCCCAGTGAGCTGGCCAGGTTGCCACTTCAGACCAAGCCCTTGGGGCTTGAGTGGAGGAGGCTGGGGATGGAATGCCCTTCCTGGTTTCCATTTCAGTTAGACAAGGAGGACTAACGCACAGAAGCCCCTTCTCAGTGATCACAGTGGAGACCCAGGCCCCTTCCCCTCCCTCTCCTCCATATTGGTGTTGGGACAGCTCAGGCCAGAGGCTGAGGGATGCCCAAGGAGACCTTTCAGTGTGTCTGCTGCAGGGTGTGTGTGTGTGAGAGAGAGAGGGAGAGAGAAAGAGAGACACACACACACACCACATCACACACATACACACATACATATATAACACTCCCACACATTCATACACATACACACCATATCACTTACACACACACACACCACATCACTCACATGAACACATACACACATATATACCACATCACACACACACACACACACACACAC